ATTAGACAATGACTAAAGTTGTACGTGTGGCTTGTTGTACACTCTTCATGTAATTACAAACAGTAGGGATTATCAATATATAATTCCGTATGCAAATACTAATAAAATCCCATCGGCAATGTAAGCCGCCTTAAACAATAAAAAAAAAAAAATAATATTAGATATATATTATTCTAATTAAAATATATTATAATTATATTTCTTGCTTATTCTATTAAATCTAAGTTATAACATCATATAATATACTATTGTATTAAACAAGATTCCTAATTTTAAATTCACATATTATATAAAATTTTTATAATTTTAAATAAATTATCACTAATTATATACTCAATTGCAACTCTTTGTTGATTTTTGCAATTCTGGCTCAGGTCTATATAGCAAACTAGCAAATTTAATAATCTCTGAATAGATCTTTAAGATGTTATAACTGATTATTTATCATTATTCTTTATTAAAGGTTTTATAAGAATTATATTAAAAAATCAATTATTTAACTTTAAATAAGACTTGGTACAAATCTTTAGAGTTTATTACATGATTTTGAAAATCATTATAGAGCATAAAAAAATTTGACTTTTAAAATGTTCTAACTCCTGTTCTAGTAAAGCAAATTTAATTTTATAACTTACAAATGATAATAAAATAATATAATTTTAAACCTATGTAGCCATATTTTATATTAATTTTAGATAAATTAAAGCTATATTATCAATATATTATTTATATATTATTGAATTAAATTTTCTTTATTAGAATAATAGAGTATTTTAAAAATGCACCAATTTTATAATAAAATTACTATCGTGCCAATCATATAGCTAGAGATATACTGTATGTAAACAATGTAATGTACTGTATTATTAAACAAATTTGTATTATCCTGTTATTGTAACAAGAAGTAACAGTACTCACAGAAATTTTTTTGGATATCAACTTACTTATCTTCATTATAGGATTTATAAAATTTTTGTATGAATTTATTATTTTTTTTTTTTGATATGAGCAGAAAATTTTAATTATTGATCAAATCAAAAATTATTAAAATACAGTTTAAGTTTATTAAAAAATATTAATTGTAATATATTAATATTAACTAATATACTTTTTCATATTGTATATTTTAACATAAAAGTAGGTTTTAAAAGTAATAAATAATGCAAATAATGATAATATAAAAGTAAATAATATATGATCAATCAGATTAATAAAAATTAATTGTAACTTATATATAAGTTAATTTTTTTAATTTTTGTTAATTAAACCTCAAATTTACAAATCATTTGGCTTAGGCAATAAATTTTTAAAATTTTATTACCTAAACCAAAATAATTTGCAAATTTAACAAAATTTGAAAAATTAATTTAATAAATTTATTTTTCTTATTAGTTATCTAATTTTTATTAAAAATCAAAATTTTATATTGTTTATATAGTAAAAATTTTTGATTTAAAATAGACAAATTTTTAAATAAAAATTACTAAATCATACTATTAGTAATTAATACTGCTTATACAGTATCTAGTATTAAGCTCTAATTTTATAACATTAGAGTTAATAGTTTAAATTTGGATTAATTCAGAGTTAGAGCTAATTTTTTGTATAACTTATAAAAATTGTCAACTCTAGTAATTAACAATATGTCCAACTACTATCCAACTCATTTTCCCGCCAAATTACTGTGATCAGCATTACTGAATCCAGAATATTATAAAATATAGACTTGTGATTAGCTAAAAATTACATAATCAATTTTTTTGATTTTATATAATATTTCAATAACGGGTTCCATTTTAAATGTTTTAAGATCATTTTCAAATCCTATTAATTTTGCAAAATTCGAAAATAGCTTTGATAAAAAGAACGTTATAGCAATATCTTCGTTCAAAATTTATGAAAAAATAATTTAAAAAACCAGACTTTTATTATCCATCACAAGGACAATAATATACTTAATGTATTTTATAGCAAAAAATTATTATTCAGCAGGGAATCTTTGAAATTGCTATTTTTAAATGGCAAATTTGTAAAAAAAAAAAAAAAAAATGAATTTAAGGAAATTCTGTAAATTTTTGCGTGGTGAGCAATCTAAACCAATAACCGGCACGACTAAATAATTTTTTTGCAAAAATTATATTTACGTATAAATATACAGTTAAGCTAATCAAATATTAGTAATGGCATGCCTAATAGACTTAAATGCCATGACCGGTTATGCCAGTTACCATATACGTATACGTAACGTAATTACTGTACGTATACGTACGTATAATGGGTATCGTTCCAATCTTAATTTAGTAATAATATATTAACAATGAATTTATTTATTTGTTTTATTCGATATAGTATTACACAATAATGACAATTACTAAGTACGTTCTATTTTTTATTATATATATATATATATATAATATGTATAATTAAAATTATATATTGTATATATATTTATATATACTTTCACAATATAAATTTATATAGTTAATTCTTTTAAGTAATTAGAAGTTAAAACTGCTAAGTTAAAAAAAATCAGGTAGTTAATAACACTCTTAAATTATTATACAAACCTTTTATAATGCCAAACTTATATTTAAACAAATATTACATTCAAATTAATAATCTTTCTAATTATAAAATATAGTATAAAAAAAAAAAAAAAATTAGAGCATGCCTCGAACTCTTATGATAATGATTATTTGTGTCAACTGACGATCTTAAATTGGCAGTTTCATTTTTTGATTGGTCAACAGGTAAGGAATATAGTAATATACCTCTGACCAGAGATGCCTGTAATTTTCCTTTTTATTTTTGTGAGGGAAGACCCATTGTGCCAAGAAATTTGACAGCATCATTAAATTCCTTCTTTCGTTGCTCTGAAGACCATCCAAGTTCTTCACTCATGATTTCAATAATGTGCGGAAGTGATTCAAAAGTTGCTTGAACGTCGAGGAACGCCAGGCGAGTACGACGTGCGATAACATCCTGGAAAGTAAAAAGTATTATTAATTAAAAAAAAAAAGTCATTATTCCACGAATAACATAGAATACATACTACAAGTGTGCAAGCATATTCTCGACGGACAGCATAACGAACTTCTGCATCAATATATGGGTATAATGGGTTCAATCTGCGACCAAATGCTGGCCAACTCCTACCAGTTGGATGTGCAAATGCTGCAACAGCCCATGCGCGATCACCATAACTATTAACTAAATGTCGTGCAACCTGCGAATGGTGCAAACTAGTCAGTGTTGGATAATAATTTCTAATATTATACAAGACATAAATTTATGTAAATAATAGATTAAATACTTCAGTTTCTAATTTGAATTGTTGAATGAGTTTTATAAACATGGTTGGAGAATATCCGTGAGACCCAATAAGTTTTGTTATTTCAGTACGACATTCATTCAAAGGTTTCAGTCCTTTGATTTGTTTAGTGATTTGTTTAGAGATTTTTTTAGAGAGATTTGTTTAGAGAGATTTGTTTAGAGAGATTTGTTTAGAGATTGGTTCAGAGCGATAAAAGTAAAAGCATTTAAACAAATTATAAAACAAACCTAATACTTGAATAGCTGTATCAACCGTTTCTTGTGCCATATTTCTATATGTAGTCCATTTTCCACCAGCAATGGTGATTAAATTAGAAGGACTAACATTAATCATATGTCTCCTAACTAATGACGATGTGTTTTTTGCGCTAGGATCACGCACCAAAGGACGAATTCCGGACCAAGCAGAAAGAACATCACTGCGTCGAACTTTAATATCTATAAACGAAATATTAATAATATATAGTTTGGTATTTTAAATAATCTAATTGGATGATAACGAAATAACGATAAAGAACAACGAACCAGGACTTAAGTATGTTGCGATTTCATTGAGAATCCATTGTATTTCTTCTTCTTTAGGCATTGGGCTGTATGTTAATTCAGTAGGAGAATCTGTTGTCCCAGCAATTGTACTTCCTTCCCAGGGTAAAAAAAAAATTACCCTTCCATCTGATGTAGAAGGATCAATCATGCCCATTTTCCGGGGGCTATAATAGTTTGGTAAGACAACATGAACACCTGCAGAGGGCGCGACAATATTGTCACACCTAGGATTATCCATAGAACGAATACCATCTGTGCAATGAAATTTAATTAAATGCTAAATTGGACACATATTTAACAGTTAACCACGTTCTTTAACCCAATATAGCCCGATATGCGTGTGATAAATTTACCTGTAAATGCACCTGTAGCATTTATTACACCTTTAGCATTTATATCCCATTCATCACCACTCAAGTTATCTTTAACTCGTGCACCACAGATTTTACCATTGTCATCTTTCAACAATCGCATAACCTCCACGTGATTGACAACAACTGCGCCATGTGAAACAGCTGACAATGCAAGAGCAACATTCATACGCGCATCATTGTGTTGACCTAAATAAAATAAAAAGTAGCACAACTGAGTACTTTTTTTGTAAGTAATAATTATGAGAGAACAATATGATGTTGGGCATAATTTTAAGGTAGCATATAATAAAGCAATACAAATCAAAAGGTTAATTTATCTTAACCTGAACAAGAATCATGCTAGTACTCGTTTAAACTATTAACCTTTAAAAGAAGGGATAATTTTAACGAATGCTATATTTCTTATAATACACTATTATTATATACCACCTAATTTTGTTCCCTCATAATAATGGAAGCATAAAGATTAACCAACCATCATAATATACCATAGCGCCAACGAGTTTCTCTTTCTTTAACCATGGGAAAGCTTCAATTGCTTTATCACTAGATAAAAAATGAGAACCTTCCATAGCTTCACTACCGGCAAGGAAATCGTAAGCTTTTGAACCGACCCAAAAATATGGAACTTGCCACCACCTATATTAATATAAATGATACATTTCAATATTTGAATTTTCAATTATATAATTAAAAACTATGTATGTGTTCAATCGTACTTATAAATGGGCAACAGGATAGGTAATGGGTAGCTTAAATAAGGAGCAATATGCAAAAATGTGGCACGTTCATGAAGAGCTTCTTTTACAAGCTTGTATTGATCATAGTCGAGTTCTTTAAATGCTTTCTCAAGATATCGAACACCCCCGTGAACAAGTTTCGTCGACCGCGAAGAAGTTCCGGAAGAGAAGTCATCTCTTTCAACCAATGCAACTTTTAATCCTCTTGTTGCAGCATCAAGAGCTGTACCCGTACCAGTAGCTCCACCACCTACTATTAATAGATCAAATGGTGGCTCCTTCTCACCATTATCTTTTACTTTCATTCCTGAATTTTTGAGAATGTTTAACATTTCTTTTCTTGAAGGTGGAACCCATAAATTATGTAATTCATTATCAGATGAAACTACTGTTTGAATTTGATTATACGCGTCTGCATATGTCTCCGATAATAAAAGTTGTGGCTTAATAATAGATAAACGTTGAGTTTGTTGCTTTCGAATTCTTTTTGAAGAGTCCGGATAAAAATAATAAGTAGAAGTACCACCAATAACAACCGCTATACTTGCGTAAGCTACGCGCTTTCTAGTGAAAACTTTCCACATTATTTTAATTTGTTCTTTTTGTACTTTACGTAAGAGCTGTAAATATAAGAGAGATAAACGTAATTATTTAATAATAATTATTTTATAATTGATCACTTACTTTAATAAATAATTGTTACACTACTTTTTTTTTTATATTGATTATAATGGAAAAAATAGTAATTTTTTGTACGTATAAGCAAACAACGTAATGATAATATATATGGTACGAAATGATTACATTGATAAAGATGATCAAAGAATAACATAATTTAAAACTTTAATTTTATATCCAATTAGACGAACCAATAAAACGAATTTAAATGAACTTCTTTGAACTTATATAAAATGTTAAATTTATCACATGCAAAATCTTTATAAAGTTGTTCGTCTATGAAATATGGCTTGCGTAACACCAACTTTTATTCGTAGAGTGACATTTTTTTACACCTCTTTACCAATCGGAGCTCGCTTATTTTCAAACATTCGAACGATTCCTTCAAATTTATCGTTATTACACATTCCTAAAAAATTTTCTATATTTAATAATTTTGAAACGACAAGCGATCGGAATTATTCTTTAAACATGGCGTGGTTTTGTTCTGGTAATTAAGTTAAGCCTAAAGATAGAAACATTTCTCGCTTTTATTTTTAAGTAAAATGTATTTAAAAGACGCTATTTATTATGATAGCAAATAGTAATGACGGTTTGATAAATAATATGAAAAAGGCTGGAATATTTAAGTCTGAGAAGGTCGAACAAGCCATGAAATCGGTTGATAGAGGAAAATATATAAGTAATCAGCCATATCGCGATTCACCTCAACAAATAGGTTATGGAGCTACCATTTCTGCACCGTAAGAGTAGATTGAAAACAGGCTTTAAAGTTGTTATTACTTTATTGGATTGATGGATCAATAACTTTGGTGTTTTATTCAAAGTCATATGCACGCTCACGCTTTAGAAAACTTGACACCTTTTTTGCAACCCGGCATGAAAGGTTAGTAAATGTATATGATTACTTAAGTAAATGTGTATTTGACGCGTCACTTTGACAAATTATATTTAAGTTTTGAATTTCTGGAATTTAATGTCGTACAGTGTTAGATGTTGGATGCGGTTCTGGATATTTAACTGCTTGCATTGCAGAGATGGTAATTTATCGTTGTAAATTATAATGCGATATATTTAATCTAATCTTAGTCGCAATATACTTCAGGTTGGACCAGAAGGAAAAGTTATCGGTATTGACCATATCCCTCAACTCGTGAATAAGGCCAAAAACAATGTAATGAATGATCGACCGGAACTTTTGGAATCCCAAAGAGTGGTATTTGTACTTGGAGACGGTAGAAAAGGACATCCAGAAGAGGCGCCTTATGATTGCATGTACATCTTACCAATGTCTATTTATTTTTTTTTTGTCAATTAACGCTTATTTGAGATTAATATCCATTATGAAATCGAATAGTCATGTAGGAGCTGCCGCTGAAACGATGCCTCAGGATTTGATTGATCAGCTAAAATCTCCCGGACGGTACGTTAGTATAACTATTCAGTCATTGGCATTTGAATATGAACTTTGTGGAATAATCTGAATTGTTTCTTATAGGATATTTATTCCAGTGGGAGATAATCACCAATATATTTATCAAATTGACAAGGATAACGAAGGAAATGTTACAAAGAAGTCTTTAATGGGTGTCATGGTATGATATTCAAGCTAATCATTATTTTTATATTTATTCACTTTAATTTACTCTTTTATGTTATCAATAGTATGTTCCGCTTACTGATGCTCAGAAACAGTTACGAGGAGATTGAATAATCTTTTATCTAAAATGAGTTCATTTCCTTTTTGCTACTTTCTCTTATCTCTGCTCTTACTTCATTGCTACTTTCTGCTACTAGTTTTTCTTTTAATATTATCTAACTAATATTTTAATAGTTTTATAAGTTAACATGTACAATATTTATATATTTACTAGATAAAATTATTGCTATTTATTTAAATAAAATCTTATTTAAATTATTTAAATTCAACAAATTTTGTATAATCAAAACTTTACGTCTAGTCAATTGATTTCATTCATGAAATTTATTATTATAGTTGTATGCACATTTCTATTTGTAATATTTACTGACACAAAGTTGTTGGATGGTCAACAATGACAATCATTTTTTATTTATTTGATTATTCAGCAGATTACAAACCCTTAGTTTAATGAATGGCTAATTCACGATTCCGATTTTTTCTAATGAAAACAATGTTCAATTGACATGTTTGTGGATCAATGTCGTTATTATTTGGTTTTTATTAACAAATTTCTTTATTTCATGTATTATAAGATCATTCTTGGTATCACGTGTAAAGAATCGAATTTTTTTTTATTAAGGTTGTGTAAATTAAATTTCATTAACTGTTAATAATCGAATCTCTAGTACACGTGATTGCAAAAACGTTGCTTATTTTGTTTTTTATTTTAGTCTCGTTTTTTTTTTAAACGAGAATATTACATAAAATTATAAAATATCGTTGACTATTTTAAAAAAAATTTTTTTTTTTTTGGGGGTTAATAACAAAAATTTCAATTCTACTTGACCTCCACCGTCAACAGATTATTATTATTATTGTAACAACGATTAATTTCAAATTAAATTGTTGAATTTTAAAAGTTTTTTTTCAAAGATTTTGTACAACCTTTGTCATAAATGTAAATGTCCCTTGAAAGAAAAATGAAAAAAAAAAAAATCAAATTGATCATAAATTAAAAAAATGCAAATTACAAACAAAATGTGTGAAAAGAACTATAGTATACAAGTGCTATCATAAAATATATATATATATGTGGAAAAATCTCAAAATCTCATGCATAAAATAAATCCCATTTAGAATAAAGAATAAATAAAAAATAAAAAAAGATTTTAAAAATAAGTATATATAGTAAGTAATTTG